CTTGTCGGTTAAAGTTCATCAGCCATAAAGCAGAAGAAGTGACAGTTGCTGACGTCACACACTGCTGAGCCCTCACCTGGGAGAAAACCAGCTGAAGATGTGAATTTATAGGAATATTTATTTCTATCAATATATCAAGACCCTCCAACTTATACACACTGAAAAGGTATAAACATTTCCTGTTGTACAATCAAATTTTCTTGTGATGTTGAATTTCTAATATGTATTTATCTATATGTCTGTTTATTTGACTATACCGTCCCTTTAGCTGCAAAGTTTATGTATATACAATTTTGTGAATAAAGTTGTAAAAGGAAAAACATCAGCTGCAATGATCTGCAATCTCTGAAAATCCTCCTGACCCCTGATCAGGTTTATGAGCACAGCTGACATCAGACATGTTCTATGAAGGTTGTGAAAGTCGTGACCTGTTGCTGCGCCACACTGGACTCGTTCTAAAACCTGGACTTTACTTCAGTGACTACCAGCGCAGTGTATTTTATACCAGATGTCCCTGTTTAATGTGTTTTTGTGCTGAATTAGTGTTTTCCAAACCTTTTAGTTTGAAAAATTAAGTAATATCCTGTATCGACATGAATTATTAGCAGCTCAACCAATGAGTGATTTTCAATTTCTCGGATTGACCCATGTGAGAGAAATGTATTGGCCTGAACAAATGGCGTATCCAGTGTGAAAAAAGAGCCACAACCCCCTTGTGCTTTAATTATCACGAGATGACTTGGAGGATCTGTGCCTTATCTCACTGATCTGTGTCTGTCTACACTATTAGAGATATTATAGAACTGATAAAACTAAAAAAGACTGTATCATTTTGATGAACCTAACCCTTCTTCCTTGGTTACTTGCCTTCACCAAGGAGTTTATATTTTCACCCGTCTGTTGGTTGTTTTGTTTGCTTGTTCATACGTAGAAATTATTCCATTTTGGTGCAGCTCCAAATCAAATCCAGGAAATTCTTACAGTACATTTTTATCACTGATTTCCAAGGGAATAGTTCATCGATCTTGATATAAAAATGTTTAGAAGACTGATTCCTGTGACAGTGTGAATTTAAGGTTACTGTTTGGCCTTGGCAGAAATATGTGCTCTACTGAGTGACATTCTAGTCCACTCTTTATTAGTTATGTCCACATTAGCAAATGTCTTTCTGTCTGTTTGGTGGATCTAGGGCAGCTGCAGTCTCTGTAACCCACTCTAGTTGTGATATTTCTTTTGTTTCAGCTCTAACACTGTCCCCTTTGACAAGTGTCTCAATAGTTTCCTGGAGATACACCAGCTTGTGCATTGATATCAAAGGTCACATAGTGTTTCACTTTCTGAGGGAGCGTAGTCACTGTTCATATTACGAAAGGGGATGATGTGGCTCAATAGTGTGAGGATGTGGCAAATAATCTTACATCGAATGAGGAAGATGCCACGTTGTCTTTTTAGCTGGAATCAGTGAAATGATGATTTTTGAAAGTTTGACTGTTTGACTGAGCTTTCCTTATCTTTTGAACTTGTTCTTTAAATATTATCTTGGGTTCATCTCACTCAGATATCGGGGAGCATAGTGTAAGATGCTGCTTTGAGATACAGCCGGTGAAGATGTTATCATCAACTGCATCTCAGGGAAAAAAACAAGTTGCTCAACAAAGCTGTTGCAACAAAATGCAATTCGCAATCACACGAAATTCCAGAGAAATGGAAAAGTCATGAAAAAATCAGAGAGTCTTTCATTCACTGTCGACATCTAAAAGAATAAACAATGACTCTATGTATAAGAAGGTCATCTGGGGTTAAAACGTGCATGAATTTTGTCAGACAGGAAGGCTCGCTTTTAGAGTTTGGCGATATGGCCAAGAATAATATCAAGATTAAAAATGTTCTTATCAAGTTACCATAAATATTGCATTAGTATCTCTTTCAAGTTTAAAGAAGTTTTGCTCCTGTGTGAAGTTGCTGTTGTAAACTCTAATACAAAACATAACACGTAACAAATCTGAACATTACATAATAATAATGATAATATTAATAATAACAATAGGACAAAAAAGAACAAGAAGAAAAATATGTGTTATTTATATAGCTCTTTTAACAATGCTTAAAGACACTAAGTTAGAAACAGAGAAACAGGAGAGAGATATATAATAGTACATTAAAATGCGTTCTGAAAAAGAGGAATGTATTAATGCTCCTCACCGTGTTTGCACAATTCATAAGCAATATATCGATTCATATTAGACTTTTGTCAAATTGCCATTGATGATATGATTTATATTGCAATAATTATTCTTATCATTTTATCAAATGGCCCTACCCTGTTCTCCATTAGCAGGTCAGGTGGACGACATGTAGTCCAGTTGACCTGAGCTTTAACTGCGGACAGCCAGTCACAGCTTGTTGGATTCAGTCGTCGTGCTACTGCTGTATGTTTCTCCTGCAGTGTGATCACAGAGGTCACGTCCTTTTTTTTGACTCATCTGCCCTATACACATCAGGTGGAATGTGTCAGATGCTTGTTAACAGTGTTGTGGTAAAGACAGGAGGATTAGAGTCCACCTCTGTCTCTCTGCACCATCTGGTAGAACACAGACAGATGCTGCCCACATGCTGGGAGGAAGAGAAGGGGGATGAGGAAGATCTTACTGCATCTTACTCCAGTTTCCTTATCTGCATTTATTTGTGTGCAAAATGATCAATTAATCTTACAGTTCATCTCCAGATTTCAAGGATTAAAATGTATTTTTTGTTTTTTGCATTAAAAGTGAAACATGTATGATATCTACATATTCTATGTATTTCAATTTTTTTTAAATCTTTTTGATTCTATTTTTGGACTCTCATGTGTTCTCTTGTCTCATTCTGACTATATGCTGCTGTAACG